CTAGAATTCCAGAATTAGAGAGGCTGAGGCAGGAGGATCTCAACTTTAAGGCCAGCTAGGGCTACATATAGAGACTGTCTCAAAAAATATGAAACAAGCCAAAACAATGAAAAGATGTTAGTTCCTCTCTAGTCATAGTTCTGGGAAGTACCCTCAATGTACAGTTATTTTCTGCCCCCAACCTACCAAAGGGTCCAGAGGGTTCTCTTCAAAGTAATGCCTAAAGTAGATCACAGGCCAGTCCCAGGATGGAAAGCCCACAGCATGGAGGCCAAGTGCCACTGGACACTGGACACGGTATACAAAATATTCCATGGTTACATGTAGTCAATAGGGAAACCAAAGAGGCTGCAATGTGCTTAAGCCACACAGTAAGTCCTGATGTGGCATTGGACACAAAGGTATCACTCCTGGGGCAGGCACTCAGTCTCCTGTCAGAAGAAATGGAAGGGGTCTGAGCAGGATCTTAGTCCAGAATTGTAGGACAGAGTTCTGTGACAGAAAATGACACTGCTCTCCTGGGAAGAGAGCCCTTGGGAGTCCAGGCCAAGTGCTCAGAGAATGGAGAAAGCTAAGCAGGGGAATCCAATGTGGCCAATTGAAGGATACAGTCCCTCTGTGCCAGTGCTGATCCCCACCTTAGAAAGGCCCCGGCTGAGGACTCTGTAGGACTTAAATGACTCCCAGATCCACAAAGACCTGCAGACTAAATATGCTCTTGGTTACCCTAGCGGATGGGCAAGTCTTTACTCCAAAGGACTTGTACAGTCACTTCATCTGCACCGTTGTCTGGCCATGAGATGAGGGCATGACCCCATGCAGCACAGACAGACCTGGAACCCACACCAGCTGCATCCACCCAATGGTCCTAAGAGCCTGAGCAGGTCATTGCTCTTCTCTGTGGGGCAGGTGTTCCAAAGCACCCAGTACACAGTGAATGAGATTTCCCTTCTCACCCTCCAGCACCCATGCAGATGTCTCTTTGCACCTTCCAGGATGGAAGGGCAGAGGGTGGATTCAGATCAGGTAGTTTCTGGAGAGGCAGGAATCGTCTCATGTGTACCTGTCCCCACCCAGCCTACCAAGGACTCCCAGAATAGAGCCATACTCACTGTATCCCACACAGGACCTCTGCATTTCCCAGGGTCCTTAAGTCTCCCACCACCACATTTGTCCTGGTCCCTGAACATCCAGTCTTTGGAGCCCAGGGCCTTGGCTGCCTTAGCTGATCCCTCTTGCTTCTGGCTTCTGGGAGTCAGGGAAACTAGAAGCACTTGAGTCTGCTTCCTGTAGCCTGGACTTGCCAAGGCACACCTAAGCTGCTCTGGAGCCAGGTGATGCATGGCCTGCAGTGGTCAGGTATCATGTGATCACTATTCCCCAGTAGTTGGGGAATAATGGTGCCTTCCTCCCTGCATTACCCTCAAGACCTTCTGGTCCAGAGAGGCTGAGGTCAAGAGACTGGGGAATCAAGACACAGAAGCCTTAGCCACACCTGATCACTGCCATTTGATCTGACCCTTAGTTGCGCCTAGAGAAGGAAAGCTTGCTCAGGGCCACTCAGAGGCTCCTGATGAGAATGCAGAGCTGAGACTGAAGGGCCAAAAAACAAAACAAAACAAAACAAACTTTCTAAAGAGGACCCAAGTTCACACCTGGCCCTACCCACAGCCCAGTTTCCTCTAAGGAATGTGTGGAACTGGAGGTAGTACACAAACTCAATAAACGAATGCTCCTGAGGTCCTAACCATTGCACTAGTGGCACTAAAGAAGGCACAGCATTTCCCAGGATCTCAGATGGAGACGATTTGCCTAGTTAAGTCACAGACAAAGGCCTGGAAATCCCAATGTCTGGGGCTTAGGGTCATCAGGAGAGCTGGATCCTCAGCCTTGTCCTAAGAGCCATGCTTGCTCAGCTGGAGAGGGTGAGATCTCTCTCTCTCTCTCTCTCTCTCTCACACACACACACACACACATACTCTCTCTCTCTCTCTCTCTCTCTCTCTCTCTCTCTCTCTCTCTCTCTCTCTCTCTCTCTCTGTGCTATCCTGCCCTCTGTGCCACTTCCTGTTTCCCAGGTACAAATGCCGGTCAGAGAATGGAAGAGAAGACAGCTTCCACATGGGAGCTATCAAACATAAATGGTCACCCCAATGTCACTGACCCCTTCATCTCCCACTTTCTGAAAGAGGCCAGCTCTAGTAACTGAAGCGGGATCTGGACAGTGTTGTCATGGCCAGCACTCTGACTTATGTAGGTATCGAGATGAGCAGAACTGGCTCAGGGCATTAACCTCTTAGAGCTGGGATCTTAGACGTGGGGTGGCTGTGGCTTTCTGGCCACTGCAATGCTGTCAATTTCCTGAGGGTGGGGGAGAGGGCAGCTGTGGTTCTAGATACAATCCAGCATGGCAGATTCCAGCCTTTCAAGTAAGGCCTTCAAAGTCAAGACTGCACCCCCACCTGCGAACTTGGGCCATCCACAAGTTCAGAAGGAGCTACTTCCTACAGAATTGGGCTGGGACCGTGTAGGGACCAAGCAGGACTGTGCCTCCCTGGTGTCCCTAGAGGTTTGGAGTGATTTCATACCACTCTCTCCAGGGATGCTCAGCTGCCACCTATGGGTGGGGGAACAGCATCTTGTGTGTGACAGATAGGTCCCAAGACTGAGTGAGGCCTTTTGAATGGAGGGCTTTCCATTGGACCCAGTGGCAGGGGGACCAGTTTCCCCAGGAAAAATCAAACAGGTATGCACATACACACACGCACACACACACTGCACTCCCTACAGGTCTGAGCTGCTGTAGTTCAGCCCATAGGAATTCCAGGCTGAGTTCACCGGCTGTCAGACTCTCTGAGCCCCGAGAATAAATTCAAAGCTGGCAGAAGCATTTTGCCTCTTCTCTCTCAATGGAAAAAGTGATCTCTCTGGCCCCGAAGGAGTTCAAGCCGAGGTCAGAGCAGCTCCCTGAAGGATGTTTTCAGATGGGGTGTCTGTGTGTGCATGTGTCTGTGTTGGGGAGGAGGGGGCTTACTCTGGCCTTTCCCCTCCATCCTGCTGAAGCCCCGGGTCTGCTCAGATCACATCTCCGCCTCAGAGTCTAAGGCAACCCACGAAGTCTGCGTGGCACGTCTGCGCTCCCATGCGGACCTCGTCCATCAGGCAGCGGCCCCGGCGCGGCCAGCACTTCTTCCGCCCGCCTCGGCCCCGGGGAGAAGACCCCCGCCCCGACCACCTCTCCCTGCCCGCCCACAGCGGTGTCATTGTTCTCTGACGTCACGCTGCAGACCCGCCCCTAGCTCCCCCCCCCCCGCCCTTTCCTCCCCACCTCGGCGGGCTCCGTGCGCCCGCGACCCCGCAGCCTCCTACGCCCGGGCAGCGCCGGGCTTCCCCCCCGCCGCCCGGTCGGGGCTGCGCCCCCTTGCGCTCTCCGCAACTTGCCTTTGTTATTCCAGCTCCCTTCCTCGCCTCGCCTCCGACACTACGGCAGCCTGCAAAACGCGGAGCGCGGAGCAGGCGCCACACCTGGATTCCGAGGCGCGCGGGCTCGCCGCCCCGGCCTGCCCCCACCCCCCTGCCCCGCGGGCCCGGAGGGGCAAGGCGCGCGCGCGCGCGCGCGTCCGACCCCGCTCCGTTTAGGGCTGGAAACGGGGAAGGCCGCTCCTCCGAGGGGTGCTTGGGGAAGGGGTGTGGAAGAGGAAGTGGGGAGGAGGACGTGTGTTTGTATGTGTATGTGAAGGAGAGCTTTGGTGCGCGGGGAGAGGGCGCGTGTTTTGTTTTACGAGCGTACGTGGGACTGTGGGCATGGATGTTCGTGAGTGTGGTGTACAAGTGTAGGTCCAAGTGCACTCACCGTGGCCGTGCGCGCGGGCGCGTGTGTGAGGGACGGTGTGAATGGGTGTGTGCGTGGGGGGGGGGTAACGTGTTGGTTGTGCTAAGGGTGGGCGCCAATACGTGTGGCGTTTATGTAGGAGTTCCTACGTGAGTGGCAGTAGACGTGAGCCAAAGGGGGGCCCAGACGGACGATCTCAGGTTGGGAGGGGGTGTCTGCAGGGGGGAACCCCGCCAGTGGGCATACTCAGATGGGACAAGTGCCCGGCCCCGGGAAAGGAGGCCGGCTAGGGTCTGGCTGCCTCCACCCCGCCCGCGCGCACCGCACCCCAGGGGTCCCCCTCCAGGCTTCAGGGCATCCACGCAGCTCAGGATGCCAGGGACCTGGCAGGTTCACGGCACCCTCGCTCCTCCCCAGCCGTGCGGGGGGCCGGGGGGGGGCAGGTGGCAGCTTTCCCCCATGCCACTCTCGGTGTTGAAATTGGGGGTCCTCTTCACGCACCCCTTCCCCGCCACGCGCTCGTCCCAGAGTTTGTAGGAACGACCCCCAAAAGTCTCTCCTACGGGAGAGGAAGGCTTTGGAGATGTTGTTAGCAACTCACTCACCCTCATCGGATACCTGACAGCGCCCCGCGGCGCCGAGACCACTCCAGGTGGGGGCGTGCGAGTGCAGGGGGGGCGCATGTGGGCTGGGTGATTTGGGGGGCTCCTCAAGTGCAGTCCCTATATCTAGGCTCAGCATTCCTCCCCTTCCCCAAACTTACGGAGGTTGGAGTAGGGCTGGGGGGGGGGGGCGTTAGGGAACGAAGAGGGAGAGGGGCGGTGACAAGGAGCCCATTGGCGTCTGGGGGACGGAAAGCTGCGAGGGGGTTAGGACCCCTAGAGTAGAGAAGGGAAAGGAGAGATCGTGACGAGGTAGAAAGGAAAGGCAGAGAAAGAGAGCAGCGCGAGTGCAGACCGAGAGAGAAAGGGGGGGAGACGGGGGGGGTGGAGAGAGAGAGCCAGGGAGAGCGGGGAGACAGACAGAGCGTGCTAAGGCTGCGCGCAGGCTGCGGCGGCGCAGCCCTCCGCTCCGCTCCGTACTCCGCGCCGACTTTTGCGAGCGTCCGGCGGCGCGGGGCCCTTTGGAAATAGAATAGCCAATGTAATCTGACACTTCAACTTGCTGGGCTCCGGGCGAGTTGATTCACTTACTCACCCCCGAACGCCGAGTTCCTTTTCACTGTCTGTGGACATTAAAAAAGCGAGCGGCGGCGGCGGCGGGCGCCCGGGAGAGCGAGCGGCCGGCCGGGAGAGCGAGCAGCGAGCGGGCGGCCAGAAGAGCGAGCACCACCGGCCGCAGCGCGGTGACCCCCCCCCCCCAGCCCCGGCGGGCGCGGAGCGGGAGCCGGAGCCGCTGCCGAGCCGATCCCGGCGCCCTGACTGCGCTCCCCTCGGCCCCAGCCGGCCCTACCGGTGGCAGCGGCGGCGGCGGCGGCGGCGCGTCCTCCAGCGGCGGCAGCGGTGCTCGCAGCGCCCGGTAAGTTTGGGGACCGAGCCAGGCGCCCGTTAGCCTCGAGGCTTGCTCCCGCTGCCCGCGGCTTCCCCGTGTGCGAGCGTGGGGGGCGCAGAGTGCGGGAGCTTTCCCCTTAAAGGGTCCACCTGGGCAAGGGGAGAGGGACGAACGGCCAAGCGGCGTGGGCTCCGTGCACTCTCCTCGGCGGCCGGGGCTGGAGGCCCTGGCGGCCGGCTAGTACCGGGCTGCGCCGAGCCGGCTCCGGCTGAGCGCGGGGACCCGGAGATCGTCGGGTGTGCGGGGCGCGAGTGCGGTTCTGTGCGCGCGCGGACCCGGTGCCCGCCTCTTGCCGGCGCGCCTACAGGGCTCTGGGCTCGGAACACCCGGTGGCCGGGCTGCACCTGGATTTGGAAGAGGGAGGGAAGGACCGGAGAAGGACGGTCTCGATCTCTCCTGCCTCCTTAGGAGAGATGCGAAGTTGTGAGCTTGTGTGCATTTGAGAGGCGCCGGGGAAGGAGCCGGATTTCAGGATGGCCAGGCGGTGGGGTGGTAAGTTGTGCATCTGAAATTTCCGGGGAAAACACACACTTTTGCACATGAGAGGTGGGAGCGCGGTTAAGTTGTTGGGGGGGTGGTGGTGGTGGTAATTGCCCCGGGAAACGCTGCGCGCAAGTCCTAGCTGAGATCGCCGAGGGGTGTGTGTACTGGGGGCTTCTCGGAGGGTTTTGGAAGCCACAGGGGGCTTTCAAACCGACGCTGGGACGGGGTGCCCCGGGCCGAGGGCGAACCCCGAGGGAAGCTGTGTGTGCGCGCGCGTGGTGCAAATGCGAAAGTAATTTCTCCAGGTTCTTTCTTCCTCTGTCTCCCGCGGCTGCGGCCCCCGGGGGAGCGCGAGGTCGGCCCCCAGACCGAGGTGGAGGGGCCGGGCCCGGCTTGGAGCTGGGGTCGGGGGATAGAGACGGGGGAGCGGGTTCTGGAAGCTTGCTATCCATTCTCGGCGTCTGGGTTGGGGAGAACACAGTGGGGAGCGCGGCCTCGGCGTCTGGGGCGCAGGCGGCCGGGCGCGCGTCGTCCCCTTGCCACGGGGGGACATCTGTCCAGGAAGCTGGCCGGGCGGGGAGAGGGCGCGGTGCGGAGGGCAGGCTCCCCGCCCCCGAGCGGTGGGGGGCGCGGGCGAGGGGCGGCCGCCTTCCCTGGCCATTGTGCGCCAGTAGATTTTCACGGGAGACTGCCCCGGAGCCGCCGGAGAAGGCCGGGAGCCGGCCACAGCCCAAGGTTTAAAAGACACTCCAGGAATGTAAACAACCGGGGCGGGAGGGAGGGCGGACGGGAGCGCGCCGGGGCAGCCGGCCCGGGGGATTGGGGGGGCCCACCCTCCCCAGGGGACAGGATGGTGGGCAGGGCCGCCCGGTCCTACCCCTCTACCTGCTGCAAACTTTTCTCTCCTCTGCCTTTCTGCTTTACCTTCAGCCGGGTGCAGGATGAGAGCCTTTCCCAGGCCAGGGCTGATGGGGCCGGGGAGAGCGTCTGGCACCCTGCGCCCGATTGGGCAAGCCTGGCGGCTAGGTCCGAGCCCCGAGCCCCGGCTGCGCCTGCCCCGCAGCTGCAGCTTCCTGGGCCGGCAGTGCCCGAGTAACTGGGGCTCCGGGCTGCCCGACTCGCTGGCTCCCTCCCTCTTTCCCTCCCTCCCTCTGCTTCTTCCCCCGCTCTCCCCCCTCCCCTCTCCTCTCCCCTGACTGCTTTTCCAATGCCCTGACATGAGGGAGGAAGATTTAACTTGGCAGCCCAAACAAATGTTCTCTCTGAGGTCCTCCAAGAAGCTGGCGGCTGGGCTGGCGGGGCGAGGGCACCGTGCGGCCAGCCTTTCCGTCCTCTCTGCTCTGCCAGGGACATCGGGAGCCGCCCCCCCCTCCCCCGGTGGACAGCCCTGGGCATGGAGAGTAAAGCCCAATCCTTAAGATTTAAAAGGGCAGTGGGAAGCTCCCCTGGGGAAGCCCCCTGGCTTGGTGCTGGGCAGAGCCAGGCTGGAGCTGGCTCCTGGTGCCAAGGGTTTCTGAAGGCTCTTAAGCAACAGTTTGTCTCCCTGCTGCAACCTGGGAATGGAGCCTGGTAGACCAGAGGGTTAACTAGTGCAGTCTCCTCCTCCCCCGTGGGTGTGAGCACAGGCTGGTTACACAGGGCAGGGCAGGAGGCCAGAGGCTGTTCCCAGAGGTGCCTGGGTTTGCTTATTATTGTTTTTTTGAAGGTACTTTAGATAAAGGGACAGGCGGTAGGGCTGGAGAGCTGGGCAACTTGGCTGCTGGTTAAATTCCAGAGTTGCCTTTGCCAGAGTTTGCTTGGTAGGAGTGGAAAAGTTGCTTGTAAGCTATCTGGGAAGTTTCAAGGAGGGAGCAACCCCCCCCACCACACACACCATTTTTCTGTCTTGACTGCTTTTTTTTTTTTTTTTGAGGGGTTCCAAAAGAAGAGGGAATTCTTAGCCCTTTTCTCTGGCTCTTCCTGGCCCCTCTGTGGAGGCCAGGAGGGTTTGTGAATACCCGGGAGCCTTGTGCTGACCTTTCCCTCTTCAAGTTGAGGATGTTGAAACTCCAGCATCAAACAAAAGACACATTGAAAGCCCTATCTGCTACAGAGCACGTGTGGCTTTGGGGCTAGAGGGAGGTGGCTTTCTTTTCTTTCTTTCTTTCTTTTTTTTCCTCTGAGTTTTATAATTTCAGTTGAGCTTTTGTCTCCTGCCCCCCCACCCCCACCCCAAGGTCCCAAGCATCTCTTGGTCCCAGTTATGAAACACATTTTCACATGTAAATCTCAGAAGTTTAGACTTGGGAGTGTGGGTGGCAGTGGCCTGGTGGGGTGGTGGTGAAGATGGCTTTAGAGTTTTCGGGAGTTAGATTTTTTTGGGGGGCGGGGGGGGGGAGAAGAAGAGGCATTCAGAGTAAGGTCCACTGATAAAGGAAGGGAATAAGAAAATACTGGGTCTATGAAAACCTTTAAATAAATAGCCTTTTCTATGCGGAAAAGTGTTGCTGGTTTCTTTGTAGGTACAAAGTGCCCCTGTTTCACCCTTCTAAAGAAGGGAGAGGGAAGTTGTAGTAGCAAATTGAAGAAATGGTGTTTAACGGCAACACACACACACACACACACACACACACACACACACACACACACCATTCTTCCCTAGTTACAATAACACTTCACCAGCTCATCTCATTAGAGATGACCCAGTCTAGGACAGGTGTCCACCCATTGACTCATTCTAGAAAATCACAGGGAGAAGGACCTGACTGAGAAGACCTGAAAACTCCCCCCTCCCCTCCCCTACCACCACCATGGCCAAGTGTGAATGCAGAAGAGGACACTGGATCCGTGGGTCTCTGGGGCACAAGACCACCTTCTAAGGAAGCCAGACCTACTGAAGTCTCTTGTCTGGCTGGGCCAGAGTCCAAGACTTGTCCATAACCAAACGTCTCGAGGTTAGATATAAGAAACCCAGACACCAACAAGTTAATGTGGGGGAGCTTCTATGGGCATATTCCCGTCATGGAACCAGGAAGTAAGGCCTGCCAGGTCATGACTGGGTCCCCTACATTTTCATTCATAACTCTGCTCCCCTGGGCCCCTGCTTGGCTCCTATCACTGTTGAATCTTTATGAGGTTCCTTAGGTTTTGTGTGGATAACAAAGACTGGCTGCTTAATTACCCGATGCTGCTGCTGCTGCAGTCTTGCCTGGTGACTGCCTGGTCCTCTCAGCAGGACACAGTGGCCTCTGCTCAGGCCCTCTGAGGAGCGCTCTTTGTCCTGAAGAGCCCCTGAGGCTGGGGTGGCGGCAGACTGCCTGGGCCACAAGCTCTGCTGTGAGGCTGAGCTCTGGAAAAGGAGGAGGCTACAGTTTGCTGGCTACTGTAGTTCCGGTCAGTTTATTCTGCAGGCCTCAGTCTGTTGATCTGTACAATGGGTTCAAGGGTAGAATGTCTACTCTCCCCCTGGGTGGCTGAGAGGAGATGAAACTGTTGAAGGATGGGGCAAAGGAGGATGTGTGAGCCCTCAGCATGCACATGCTGGGTGCAGAAAGAATAGAAGGCCAAGGGGCTGGTTGAGGATTTTAGATACCTTCCCCTTGAGCTACCTGCTTCTCTGTATTTGTTTTGCCAGTAGTGGGGTTTGAACTCTGGGACTCCCACTTTTGTTTTTAGCTTCTTTATGCAAGGCTGGCAAACTATCACATGAACCACCCCTCTGCTTCCTGCTTTTTGGTGGTTAATCTGAGATAAACTCTCATGTACTTTTCTGCTTAGGCTGACGGAGTCCCTCAGATCTCAGCCTCCTGAGTAGTATTACAGCAGGCATGAGCCATCAGGGCCTGACTCTCATTTTTTTTTTTCTATAACAATGATGGATTCCAGAGCTGACATATTTGTGTTTAGGGACAGCACTTGGAATGGCTGCTTGCAGCCTTTGCTGACAGTGACATTCGGGGAGCAGGGAAGGGTTCTTCCTGAGGGGACTCTCTGCCATCTGTCCTGTGTGCCAGCTTTACCTCTTAGCTCTTCCTCTCTTGGGAAGGGGCTGCAAGGAAGGGGGCTCCAGCACCCATGCCACCCATGTTTATTGAGTGTCTGCAGTGTGAAGGCCTTGGCCCGTAAGACCCAGAGCCCAGTAAAGCACAGAAGTTCATGCTCCTTAAGAGCTTACATCCAGCAAGGGCAGGGAGATCAATCCAAATAAATAATTAACCACACCAGCTGGCTGCCTGCCATGGGGCTTGGGACCGGAGTAGCCACAGCCCCTCCTCTTCGTATGGCACTCGGTGGATAGAGAATCGGCGGCCAAATTTATTTAACCCCAATAACAGCACAGTCAGCTGGCTATTATTTAGAATTTATCCCCTCCCCCACCCTCCGGCCCATTTCAGAGAAAAGAAAAATGAAGTTTGTGGCAAAAAAAAAAAAAGCCACTCAGAACAACCTTTGGCACAGTTGGAAGTCTTCCAGATAGATACCAGCATCATGCCTTGTGTCAGAGC